GAGACACCCACACTTACCTGGGTATCAAAATCTCCTACCACTCCATGGCTCGACATACCACCTCACACCGACTGCAGGCGGCCAACAATGCCTGGCAGCGCCTCAGGGGAATACTGTGTTCTGCTCGACACTTAACTCTCGCAGATCGTACCGCTTTGTGGAAGGCCACTGTCCTTCCCACACTCATGTATGGGCTTTCTGCCGTGGGCCCAGGTCCCAAGGAGCAGAGACGAATGCAGGCTGTGATCATCAAACACGCCAGGGCTATGGCCAAGTCATACGCCCACATTCACCACGAGTCGTCTCAGAATGTCTTGGCCAGATGTGGCATCAGGAATGCAACTGAACAGCTTCACAAGGAGACTGAGGCTCTCCTTCGTCGGCTCCGAGCTCAGCTGCCTCAGGCGCCCATCTTCAAGGAGGAGCATCTCCTGGACTTGAGGCAGCAAGCTGCTATCCTACAGGCGGATACCATCAAACCAGAGCTGGAGGAGCTACATCCTTCCCTGGACACGGGAGCACATTCATGTGAAACATGCGGCAGGATCTTCTCCTCCTTCCGCCTGCTTCGATCACACGAGGCCAAGCATCACAAAAGAAACACTCCAGCTCCTTCTACGACCCCTTTTGATAGACTGGAACACAGTAAGGATGGCCTGCCAACCTGCCGACACTGCGGGCACAGATTCAGGCAATGGGCGAATCTCATTCAGCATGTACAGCGAGACAGATGTCAGATCCTGCGACGGCGCCGGACTATTTCTACACAGTCTGGACCTGAGACCCCAGTGCCACACCCAGGGGTGTTCAGGCGTTACCAGACTCTGATGCTCCGGGGGCTTCCAACCCCCCACCATGTCCCGTTCCTGACCATTCAGAACCTCTGTTGGGAGCCCAGACCTCTGACTCTGAGCGCCATATCCCTCCAGATCTGACTTTAACGTCTCACACAGCTGATGAAGCTGACCTGAAGATCCCTCTACAAGCTTGGCCGATAGTTCGACAGCATTTGGAGGCTGGGACGTGGGTTCAATTACTGACCATGAGCACAGTTCAAGATTACCTTGCACATCATTGCCCCATCTGTCTACAATGGGCTGCTACTCCGGCTGGAATCAAGTGCCACATGACTCATCATCATGATGATTGGACACTTCTGCAGTCTGACGTACGAGCGCTTCTGAGAGGGTTCAGACGTCACACCACTGTTCCGTGCAGATACTGCCAGGGTCGACAAATCAATAAAGATCGACATTGGTTCCAGTGCCACGTACTCAGCTTGTGCGCCTTCCTCCAAGCCAGCCATGACCATTCCAGCAAGCCAACAGCATGCGGAGATGGATCTAGACGAGCAGGAACGTCTCTTCTTTGCCCAGATGGGCCCGGTGAAGAGAGAGTCTCAATCCTCCAACTCGGGGGCCCCACCAGTGCCCCTGAATACGGCGAAAAGGCAGCGGCTGGATCAACAGGACAAGGGAAAGGGCAAGGGCGGCAAGGGAAAAGGAAAGGCGAAAGGCAAGACGGGATCCCCTCCGGGGACCAACGGTCCACCCCCGTGGGTCTACACCGCTGGCTCAGGCGAAGCTCAGAGCAATCCGTGGCCCTCGGACAGGAATGCACCCCTGTTCGAGGACGAGACGAGGTGGGGCTCCCAAAGGACATCCAACTACGATCGCCAGGAGAGATTGGACTGGATGGAAAACCGAGTACAACGACTTACTCAGCTGGCCTTGAGGCAGGAACAGCTGCTGACGAACCTACGCCAGGACATGATGTTGTACCTCTTCGTGCGGAGCGGAGATGCCGGGCTAATTCCAGTTCTTTGCCAGTCAGCAGATCGATGGAGACAGCTGAAAGAGGAGGGACAGATCAGCATGTCACTCAAATTGGCAATGTTCAAGCAGCTGTTGATATCGTTGCAGGAACGCCTCACAGAAACTGCCAAAGACAGCAAAGCCATGGACCACGCCAAAGGTCTTGGCTGGCTGGACCAGGAACAGCAATGGAGGGTCTTGCGCTGGAACTCCCAACAACAGCATCTCGAGGTAGACGAAAGTCTCAAGCCCACCTCCACCTCCGATCTGATCGGGCAAATCATCCAAGTCCGGAAAGGCGTCAACGAGGACTCGCTTCTTCGCTTCAAGTCTCTTCGCAGGCTCAGCCCGGATGTGAAGGCAGATTGGATTCAGTTTCAGCTCGCCATCAGCCTGAGAGCGGAGGCGGCTCCATTGTGGGCCACACTGAAGTCGTGGATCGGCCAGTCCTCATGGCACACCCTCGGGTGTCGCCTGCGGAGGGATCGGCCTCAATACGACTCCCTTGCGGCGGACCTCTGGAACTCCTGAAAGGTGAGCTTCTCAGCCTCAAATCCCTTCTCCAGGTTGCACTCAGCAATACCTCCCAGCTGTGTTATCTCAACTCATCTGTCTATGCTATCACCTGGACGATGCTTCAGGCAAAGCTGCACGGGGCGAGAAATTTGGACCTTGTGCCGGCCCTCAGCATACTCTGCAAACCTAGATCGTCCCAGATGCCACTCAAGCTTCTGACTCAACTTCCGTGGGCTGCCGCTTTACAGGGCTGGTCCAACATTCACCAGCAACATGATGCGCCAGAGCTGGTGACACACCTCCTACCAAGGTTGGGGATCAACCATGTCGCGGGACAATGGGAGGCCAGATGGAGTGTGCAGCACCATGTGCAGGTCTTTGATCATGGCACTCTTCTTGCACCCATCATTATGTCTCTGCCACCAGGGGGACATCTTCACCTACAGCAGGTGATACATCAGTGGCACACACAGGCTAGAATGCATGCCCTTGCCACTGCTCCGGATCTCCTGTGTGTGCAGTTGAACAGGTTTACAGGGGACGGCAGAGAGCTATGTCGTGATATCAGGCCGTTGCAGGGCATGGACTGCATCGTTCATCTGCCGATCTTTGCTGATGCAAGCTCATTACAAATTCGGAATGTCCCCTATCAGGTGACATCCGCTCAGCTGCACTTTGGGGATCGGCCGACATCTGGACACTATCGAGCCATATTGAGGGGCCAAAAAGAGTTTGGTGCGCTGCAAGCTTGGATCACCGATGACAATCAAGTGCCTCAGAGTGCTACCAACACTCATTCTGAAGCGGTTTACCTCTTGTGGCTTCGACAGGTCTGTGAGACCGAAGAAATCGAGTGAAACGGATTGGAGTCGTAGACTTGAGAGAGCTGGCATAATGCCCTCTCGATCCCAACGAGGATCCGAATATCGCCTAAAAACGGCGGTATTTGTCAGCTCGCTAGGCGAGGACGAGACTTCGCTGCGTGGGGAATGAATGCTACTGCTACTGCCACTGCTACTGCTACTGCTACTGCTACTGCTACGTCGACGACGACTACTACGACTACTACGACTACTACGATTACGACTACGACGACGAGTAAAACCAGTAGTAGTCGTTGTCGTAGTAGTAGGCCGAGGAGGAGGAGGAAGAGGAGGAGGAGGAGGAGCAAGTAGGAGTGGAAGGTGCGCATTTTGAGCCAATTCCCTTACCCCCCGAAACCCCCCTGCCTGCAAAAGTTGCAAGCTTGCATCCAGCAGTCCACAAAGGGAGGTCAGGTCTGCAGACCTACAGCGCAAGGAGATTCTTTTTCCAGGGCCTGTGCATTGGGCATTTAGGCTAAGCTTTAACGGGTCATTGAAGGCCAAAATACGAACCCGAATCCCTAAACAGGAAGTGTGCTCGGAAGACGCTGCCGAGCTTACAAGTACCTGCTCGATCTCTCGCAAGGTTGCAGCAAGCAAGGTTTGTTGAAAGCCGTTACTGGCTCGCACGACACTACAAAAAAGCTGCAAGAACTACTAAGCCTGCGACTCCAGTTGTGTTTAGCTTTAGACTTAGGGCTCAGGGTTTAGGGGCTCAGGGGTTTCGGAGTTTAGGGCCTAGAGCAGCTTAGGAGTGAGGCAGTGATCCCAATATTTCTGCTCGTGCATCGATTGGCATCGGCGTTTTCCTCGTGTTGTTGCTGCCCAGAGAGCCCAATACCATTTTGTTAAGGAGTATACACTAACTCTTACTTGAGGCCGCTTATGATTTAAGGTAGTTTCCTCAATTAAGGGGCATTGGGCTCTTTGAAGTTATGTCGGACACATGGCTGCGCACCCGGATTCAGACTAGACCTCCTCCTGTAAACTCACAGTCGCAGCAGCCTATACAGGTTCGCATGTGTATGAGGTGACGAGCTTCACAAGATAGTTCGACTCCCCGCTTCCAAGCAACTTCTGCCAGATCTTCTGATGCAAAGCCTCCTTCGTTAGGCCTCCAGACATGGAGGAAGCGCAGTGGATAAAGGTTGTCGACCAAAGCGCAGAGGCTGGTCCGGACAGATTCATCGTCCACTGCTAGCAGCTTCCGAGGAGGCTCCCAATAGAATTCCACAAGCTCGGACCATTGTAACTTGTTCAGAAATTCTTGCACATGCGAGGCAGTCAGTCCGGACGAATCAAATACACCGTGCCGGAGGGCAAACCCCAAAACTCGACTGCAGCAAATTTTTTCAGCTAACGCACAGAGTTCTTCACCCGGAAATTCAGCTGACAGAGAAACCATGCAGCAGTTGGATGGCCATCTAATCTGGGAAAGGATTTTTGCCAATATTTCATCGCAGCCATCGTCGACTATCGAAACATGCATGAGGGGAAATGCGTCCAAGCAACGCTGGAGTGATGAGGCGGAATCCCCTGGTCCACAAAAGATCTCAAATCTCACGGTGTGCAAACGGCATAAGGATGTGCCGCAATCTGCAATGCTTTCAAGGAGTGAAGCTGCAGACTGTCCTGATGTCTCATGAACTGAAAGGCTCAGTTCAAGAAGGCTGCTGAAAGTCGGCAAGACCTTAAGTGCTTGTACTGGGCAGCCGTAATAGTTCAGGCTGTCAAGTGCAACGGAGTGACGCTGCAGGTTGCGCAAGACCGTCATCCAAAGAGTGCTATCCCAGTCCCCGCGCCAAGCAGATAGGTCAAGCTTCTTCAGCTTGACGAAGGGCCCTAGCAGCCAGCCCAAGCAGAGGGTGAAGAAGTCTGGGTTCTGAGCTTCACCAATACCTTCCCGTATTGCAAGCTCAATCACCTCGCTCCTGTCAATGGCAGGCAATGATTTGATCATTATAATCATCTGATCTGCAGCTGAGTCCTCACAGTCAACACAAACGAAAGGCACAATGAGCAGGCCACATTGAGAAACGCACCAGCTCCGCACAGTTCGATTCGTCATGCTCGCAGCGGCAATGGTGAAAGGATCTAAACATGGCGCCAGCTGCTTCCACGCAAACTTCTTCTCCAACACCATTGCGGACATCGTCTTGCAAGAGGAACAGAACATTAGGTAGAACCGTGAAGCATCACCAGTAGCAATCCATGGCGGCCTGTATACGAACTGTTGTCTAATAGACCCCGAAACGTTAGAAGCTGCAGTACAGCTGCTTCAACAATACAGTTTCGGTGTTTCCCGCACTCACACTCACTCCTAGGACTCATGGCAGTACTATAGGGGTATACCGACACCCCCGATTTGGTTACCATAATCCAGTGCCGAAACCACTGACTGCTGTTAGCAGGTAAGGGATCACCTAGACTAATTATAGTATTGCACATGCCTCACAACTGTAAATCCTAAACCCTATGTTGCCCCTTCTTGTAGCATCTCCGACTTTGAGTCCAGGAGACCGTTGAAGCATGAAGCTTCAGAACAATCAGCGGGCATAGGTTGAGGATTTGAAGGTTTCGGGCCGAGTTTTTTGTTTCAATCGTTTCGAGCTGTAGATTCGGGGTTTGCCGCCCGCTATTGAAACAATACTCGAAGAGAGATTTTTGGGTGTGGGGCAGTGTATAAGGACATAGGTGGGCAGATATGAAGATTGAATGAGCGACTACATACCTTGAGCACAAATAGGAAATCCCATGGAGCTGGACCTATCGAATTGGAGTTTCGGCGGTGAGGCGTTTACGCAAACTCTAGATCGGGTTGCTCAGGGGACATGCTGGGATTTTCAGAAACTTTAAGAAACTTCTTCGGGTACCTGCCTGCATTCTTTGGTGGGACGCGGAGAGGCCCTAAACCCTAAACCCTAAACCCTACCCTAAACACCCTAACCCTAAACCCATGCCATAAATTGCGAAAGGTAATGCCCTTGAGGATGAAGCTTCTGTACATGAAAGCTGAAGTGCGTGAACAAGGCCAGCACGTGCCTCTGAGGGTTTAGAGTTTAGGGTTTAGGGGTCTGAGTCGTTTCTAATTTCAAGCATGCCTAAGAAGTGATTACCGGTAAGTGATGCAATGATAATCCCGAGAAGGGAACCTTGATAGGAACCCCGTGATTCCTCAAGACCTTAAACCCAAAACCCAAACTCCTAAGCCCTAAACCCAAAGACCTCTTTAGAGGCCCTGTGAACCAAGCTCAGAATCTCAGAAGCAAAGCCTTCATGCCATAGTCTTCGGACGTTAAACCACTGAAGCCCTACAGCTCAAAAACACTCATCCCCGAAACCCTAAACCCTAGACCCTAAACCCTGGACCCTAAACCCTAAACCCTGGCTCATCAGTCCGAATCTCAAACCATGTTTTGGGGGCTTAGGGCTTGGAGTTCAGGGTTTGCGGGTTCGGGACCCCGAGAGCCCAATGCCCCTCACCGAAGGAATATCCTTAAAATTAGAAGGGCCTGCATATTCTGACTATAAGGGGCTGCATATTATGATTATAAGGTGTGCATAGTATGATTTAAGCCATGTTCCTTCCTTAAGGGGTATTGGGCTCTCTGGGGATCTGCATTAGGATTCCTCTACATGTTCGGCAACTCCGAAATCCTGACGTCCAGCGACGAGGTTAGAACGGAGATCGCCACGGTGGTGTGCCCAAGCTCGGAGTACTCGGAGACAGGCTCCTACTTGGAGGATCATGGGACTTAGTAAGTAAGGTTATAAGTGCCTTAATAGGGGTTATAAGTAATTATAAGTATAGTTACCCGATTTAATAACCCAAGTTACTAAGTCCCATGATCCTTTAAGTACCCCCAGGGACAGGTCTTCGGGGAACAAACGTCAAACTCTGAAACCCAGGACCCTCACAGTAACAGGGAATGTCACACAGAGGGCTTCATAAGGGCTGTGGGGTATGCATTATTCCAGCTTCCAAAACAACACACCACTTTGCAAATCCGAAGTCTGGGTCCCATGTGCTTGGAGAGACACTGCATCGAAGTATTGGGCCCTTCTCTCAGCAAACCGTCTCTCCCACGTAACGACACCTTTTACCCAGATGCTTTGAAAAATCAAAACAATGTATGGGTTAAGATAGGCCTCGTTTTGGAGGTTCTATTTTCTAGATCCTTCCCGAGGGTCTGGGTAGACAGTTGCCCAAGCTCGATCCCCGACCTGGCAAGCCTTCCACTGCCTGTGAACTTCATTGCCGTAGCTTCTGCACTGAACACAGAACCGTCGAATTGGGACTCATCCGAGTCAGCAGATACTAGCAGCAAGCCACTGTCCGAGGCTACCAGGCTTACTTCCATTCCCCCAGCCCGGCTCGTCCTTTCATCCGTGTAGCTGGCGCAGGGGGGGAGGGGAGGGGCATGAGATGTTGTTAATCACATGCACAGGCAGCGTTTAGTGATCCACAGCTGTAGTAGAAGAGATATATAAGCCATACACCCTAAAACCCTAAACCTTAAACCCTAAACCCTAAACCCTAAACCTTAAACCCTAAACCTTAAATCCTCCACCCTAAATCGGCGGAAACGTGGAACTCTCCGCTTGCTCCTGTCTAAGGCGCCACAGGGTTTGGCCGACGTTTTGCTGCAACATCCTGGACACAGTGCCGGAGACTGGGAGGTTTTGGCTTTAGGCTTTCGGAGTTTCGAGGATAAGGCTCTTGTTATGGGCCTAGGGCCTAAGGGGGCTTTTTTTGCTCTTGGTTTAGAGTTGTTGGGACAGTTCTTCGGCGGCCTTAATGAAGCAAAATGTTCTTGGGCGCGCCCAAGGCCCTCAACAGCCCCAAAGTGCAAGAAGGTTAAGGGTTTAGGTTGAGGGTTTAGGGTTTTGGGCTTCAAAACTCAGACTGCCGTCTGGGGCTTGGCACCTAGGGCTACTTGGGCCCCGCAAAAAAAACCGATGTGCCGGATCCCTGGCAGGAAGAAACTGCTGCCCCCATGATTGGAAGCCCAAAACAAAAAACCTTCCTGAAGAAGGCCCTGAACCCGAAAGCCAGAAGACCCCGAACCTTTTTTCCTAATTCTAAAGCTGTCTTTTGGATTGTTCTTGAGGTGCCAGCATCGTGACCCCACCTCAAGGCCAAAAGCTGCCAAGAGCCTAAACTCCCAACAGACATAACACCGAAGATGAGACGCTTCCCTGTATGGTTTGGGGTTGAGGGGTTCAGGGTTCAGAGTTTAGGGATCAGGGTTTAGGGTTTGGGGTTGAGGTGTTGGGTTTCGGGACCCTAAACCTAAACCCCTAAGCCCCTAAACCTCTAAACCCCTAAACCCCTAAACCACCGCTTAGGGTTTTAGGGTTTGGGGAATCTGACTGAAGACGAAGGGCAGCCCCTAAACCTCTAAACCCCTAAACCCCTAAACCACCGCTTAGGGTTTTAGGGTTTGGGGAATCTGACTGAAGACGAAGGGCAGGGCTCGTCTGCCCAGCTCCTGACGCCAGCTTAAAGGAAAATCCAGGTGGGGAGTTTAGGGTTTAGGGTATTTAGAATTTAGGGTTTAGGGTTTAGGGTATTTAGGGTTTAGGGGGTTTAGGAAACTCCAGGTGGGGAGTTTATTAGGGTATATAGGGCTTCCATAAGGCTTCTATAAGGTATATAGACCTTCTGTAAGGCTCCTATAACGGTAACTACCCACCTGAAAATGTCCTAGACTAGCTGGAGGCTGCAAGAGCGGTGGGTTTAGGGTTTAGGGTTTTGTTAGAGTTCAGGGTGTGGGGGTTGGAGATTTTTTAGAGTTTGGGGTTTTGGGGTTTGGAGATTTATTGGAGTTTAGGGTTTGGGGTTTAGGGCTGTTTGAGAGTTTAGGGTTTAGGGTTTCGGGTTTGTGCATCTTCGGTATCTACTAGCAAGGTCTGAATAATTACCGTAGCGGTATCCCTTGATAGTCGCTTCTCACTTTGGATATACTATAACTGACTCCAAGAAACCCTAAAACCCCATTCGCATTCTTAGGGCCCTATACTGCGGTATGGAGTTTTCGCCGGCATGTGGGCTTCAAGCTTGGTGTTCACGGGCTCTTGGGCTAAGAGCTCAGAGCAACAAAGGTTGGGGTTTGGGTCCTGCCCCCATACAGTAACAGTCTATAGCAGGGCTGCTTTAAAAGTATCCGAAGTAGAGTTATTACCCCTACAGGGAACCTAATTTGGGTCATGATACTTATAACTCTATAAACTAACTACTTACTAAGTCACCCCACCCTCCAAGTAGGGTGTCGGGTTTAGGGTTTAGGGTTTGAGGTTAGGGTTTTGGGTTTAGAATGTAGAGAAGAAATATAAGCACCCCAAGTAGGGTCTTCCGACTTCTGACTCTGCGTAGAACCGACTAAAGCGCTAGCCCTAACCCTGAGGGATCTCCAACGCCCTAACCCTAACCCAAGTCCCAATACTACCCTAACCCAGAGAAACCCCAAGGAAATACTGAAACTACGAATCCCAAGAGTAAGAGGCAAAGGGGCTCGGACTGGTGGACCACTCAGGGTGGATTTCCATCTCGGGATCCTGTTATCTCAACCCAGTGCATTGCGACGGGTCATAATAGTACCAGTATTGGTACCAGTTCCAGCAACCGTTCTCGAAGTGATGGTAGCCGTAGCATTAGTGCTCAGCATCAGCACTGGTAGCGATCGGCGTTGGCGGTCGTAGTGTCTGATTTTGGTCGTCGCAATGGTAGAAGCAGCAACAGCAGCAACAGCAGCAGCAGCAGCAGCAGCAACAGCAGCAGCAGCAGGAGCAGCAGAGCAGTCGTGTAATAGTGGTCGTGGTCGTAGTCGGAAGCGAGCATGGTCGTACTCGTCGCCGTCGTAGTAGGAGGAGGAGGAGGAGGAGTAGTTGTAGTCGTTGTTGCTTGTTGTTGCTGCTGTTACATCAATAAATGGGGGTAGGGGGTCGGGGGTAAGGGATAGTCAAAGCAAACCCAAAAAAGGCTTGGGATGCGAGCATTAATGCTTGAGTTTTGGGGGCGCAGGCTGTAGTACTTTACCGAGCCTCTGACGGAAACCGCAAGCGAAGCTGCCGAAATCCTAAACTCGAGTTCCACGCCCATTAACCCCAAAACTCTAAATCTGACTCATCTGACTGCCTAAC